GGGAGGCAGAACTATCCACCTTAGAAGAGGGAACGGGAGACCAAACGTCCTGGTTTGCTCGGAACTGAGGGGTTTCCTAAGATATAGGTCTTTCAGGGCTAGATCGAGGAAACTCCCAGGCAAACCAAAACAATTTGGTCACCCGGTGGGGGAGCAACCATCTGTGCCTTCAGTTAGAACTATTCCAACTACATCTAGAATAAATGGCATCGCCTATTAAAAGTGCTGGGGACTTGTGCAATCATCTTTCCTCTCATTTTTGCAGAAAGATGGTCATACTCAGAGTGGTGTACACATTTTTCCCAAGGTCACGCAGCTCGCTGGCAGCATATCAGGAACCAGAATCTAGATCGCCACACTCCCAGTTTAGGGCAGTTTCGACTGCATTATGTTTTTCACTTTCTTATTCTCTTTTTTAAATCACTTTTAAAATGTAAAATTCATTCAGCCAGGTTTTCTTTTGGCCACAGAACTCAGCTGTTAGGATAGTGAAGACTGTTCATCCATTTATATTGGGCACCACTTTTAGTTGTATTTATGATGCGATGGATGGTGAATGAGGGCCACAAAGGAATCAGGTTGTTGTAAATGACCTCAATTGATCACCATCTCTATAATCACATGGCATTCATTCCTACCTGTTGTTTCTACAGCCCACTGGAAGTATTGTTGTTGTTTTTAAGAAATGGGGTTTCTCTATGTTGCCCAGGTCAGTCTAATTCCTGGCCTCAGGCGATCCTCCTGCCTCAGACTTTTGTGTAGCTGGGATTACAAGAATGAGCCAGGCACCCAGCTGAAAGTTGTTGTTTTGAGACAGTCTCGATATGTTACTCAGGCTGGAGTGCAGTGGCATGATCATGGCTCGCTGCAACCTCTGCCTCCCAGGTTCTGGTGATTCTCATTCCTCAGCCTCCCACGTGGTTGGGATTACAAACATGCGCCACTATACCTGGCTAATTTTTGTATTTTTAGTAGAGATGGGGTTTCACCATGTTGGCCAGGCTGGTCTCGAACTCCTGACCTCAGGTGATGTGCCTGCCTCGGCCTCCCAAAGTACTGGGACTCCAAAGGCATTGTTTTTATTTACAGAGTTCTAACCACTTCAGTGGTAGAAGTGGAAGAGGCTTCTTTTTCAATTCAGGGACCTCTGTAATGTCAGTTCGTTGTTACCAAACACACAGGTAAGTGGCATCATGGATTTGGTAAACTAATGACAACGTGAGTGCCTCAGTCTCTGCTTCTGTAAGAATCCTGAATTTAGGATTTTCAGCTGTCACTACACCAACCTCTATTTCTGAAGCTTTGAAATCAATTGATAGAACAGTAGACAGGCATGTAATTGCAGTTTCCATTGTCTGTTCAAATGTCGAATCAAATTTCTTCTTCACTTTTCTTTCCAAGGAAGCTGGTTAACTCAGTCTAACTCGTGCTGAGGCAGCTTTAAACCCACAGCAGTAACCTGCAAGATCACACTTCATGGCTGAGGGCCTCATTCTTCATCTGTACTAATGAAAATCATACAACCACCAAGAGTTCTTACTGTAGCATTCTGAGTAGCATCAGCAATTCTTTTACACAGCACATGCACAGGAATCTCACAGCCATACTTGTATTGCCAGCTAGCTGCCTCATAGCGTGCCCTCTGTACTGTTAGCTGTCATTCCAGTCATTAAAGTGACAGCCAATGTTTTCGGTTATTTTGAGTAAGTGAGTCACTGTGCTGGAATTCAGTAATTTGTCAGGTATCTCTTCTGTATGATAATTACTGCGGTCTTTTCCTCTAATAGCTACTAATGTAAGGCCACCCTGGTTAATAGCCTTAAAGGCACATGTATATTCTACTTGGTAGAGCTGGCCCTCTGGTGAAAAAAATGGTAATGTGGTGGGCAAAACCAGTGTTGGAACCACAGGACATGTTGATAGAACCACTACTTTAAGTACAATCAAGTTTTTTTTTTAAACATGCAACTATTTATCACCTAAATGCTACCCTTCACTGAGGCAGTCACATGCCAAGACAATGTAGCCCTTTTAAAATGGCAGGCGAGGGCACCGTATTCCCCTCTAGACTTAACACCTAGAAAATACATGAAAATCTTTCTTCTTCATATCTTACATCCTTTCTAGCAGAGGTACAGGAGGCTAGCTCTCAAAACTGAAGTTAATGTACAAACTGAGCAATTCTAAGCACTTTACAGGTAACGTCTTATTTATTATCCCCGTTTCACATGGAAGGAAACTGAGGCACAGGGGGTTAAGCAACCAGACTAAGGTTGTTGTTGCTGTTGCTTTTTTTTTTTTGAGACAGAGTCTCACTCTGTCGCCCAGGCTGGAGGGCAGTGGCATGATCTCGGCTCACTGCAACCTCTGCCTCCTGGGTTCAAGCAATTCTCCTGCCTCAGCCTCCTGAGTAGTTGGGATTGCAGGGGTGCGCCACCACACCCTGCTAATTTTTGTATTTTTATTAGCAATGGAGTTTCACTATTTGGCCAGGTTGGTCTCAAACTCCTGACCTCATGATCCGCCCGCCTCGGCTTCCCAAAGTGCTGGGATTACAGGCGTGAGCCACCACACCTGGCTGTTGCTGTTTTCTAAACTCCGGCATTTGGTGAAGTCTGCGTTCCTGGGCATTGTGTTTTCAGAAGAGGAATAGAGCTCCAAGACTGCAATAAAGGAAATGACCCAGGATGTGATCTTGGAAAGTAGGGGCAGAAAAAAGGTGGAGGGATGTGTTCCTGGGGCACAGGGAGACAAATCGTTAAGATATATACTGGCAGTGAGGAGAAACCCTGTTAATGTCTCCATTCAGTTTAGATACAGGACAGCTGAGTATGTTTCAGCCCTGACTCCCATCTTCCCTTGGACATCCTTGCTCAAACACATCACGTACCAAACACCCTATGCGCTCCTGCTTCAGTCCACACTGGAACACAGCCATATGGCTCTGGAAAATTCTGCCATGAACCGTCGTATGGTGATCCCCGAGAACTTCCTGGTCTCCCTAGTGTGATTCCAGCCTCTGTACGCCTTAGTACTCTATCTTTCCCTTTCCCACTTCCCTGTCCCCTGCGGATTAGCTAGGACTTACCATAGGAAATGAAACGTCTCCGAAGAGGTGTGACAGTGTTAAGTGCAATTGTAAAGCTGACGAAGTGTCTTTGGCTTTCACTTGTCCTTCACTCCCCTCCTCTTTTCTAGTGTATTCTATCATGTTCTCTCACACTGTGATCAACTTTTTTTCTCAGATGGACCTGGCTGTAATTCTTCATATTTCACTGTGGCTTTAAGACATGTTGCCATTCTTAGCGTTACACACTTTACAGCTGAGCTTCACCAAGGGGACATAATTATGAATTTACTTTGCCCTCACGAGAGAAGTCTGAAATATCATTGAACAGGGTGTTTTATGGGGACAGGAATCCTTCTCGGTGCTTCTGAAATCAGTGAATACGAATGAATTTTATGCAGCCTACATTTAAGTTTGGTTTGCTCCAATAGACGGATATTGAATATAATTACTCTGATATGTGAATGCACTGTACCATCTTTAATTTTATAGGAAACGTAGAATTAACAACTTGGACATCTTATGTGGCTCAGCTGTTATGCTTTGGGGAAAGGAGATTGCTAAGAAGTTCTTCAGGAAGAAAGCCTTCAAAATGGAGAACAGGTGAGATCAATGAACTTCTGGCTTCTCTGTAATTTTGTATGCTGGACTATAATCGTAAAGTGAACATTTTCAGGTAACGCAACACATCGCTCTGTCGAAACATATTACTCCACAATGATGATACAAACTACGAAAGCAGTAAGAAGTATTTTATTGAAATGTTTTAGTACAATGTTGGAGGATATTAAAATTTTATATTTTAAACCATACAAGCACTGCAAATGATATATTCCTGAATCTAGCTGATGTAGTATCTAACAAAGAAAAGTGATCATATGAATATCTATAAGTTGACTAACGTAATTTAAGTTGGAGGCTAAACAACTTTGGTATATTCATGTTTCTCTGGCGCCTGTTTTTGGCCAGATAAATGCCAAGTCCACCCCCATTCAGTAGAACTGCATAGGACTGATGTGTTTGGTGGTCTCACTTAAGTTTCTACCCCAGGAGCAGCAAGGAATGCACAAATTTTGCGATTAAGCTGCTCCCAAGACAGTCTTCATCACCTTTGGTGAACTGGAAACATCAAATAGTCAAGGTCTGAATTTCCTTTGTGTGTGGCTAAATCCAGTCTAATTGGATCATAAATGTATTCTGAAGGACTTTAAAATACAAAGGTGGGGCTAAATAATGATAGAAACCATTAGTTCTTAATTCAGAGAATGGCAATGCAGATTCCTATATCCTTTTTAAAAATTTAAGATCATTATTTTAAAACTAGTTCTATACATTCTTAGACTTTCCATTTAATCTTAGCTGAAATGATTACCTTTAAGTCAATTGGCTTTTGGTCCTTGATGATTGCTCAATGTAAGTTTGCAATTTTAGGATGCAGCGTTTCAGGTGACAGTTATATTTTAGAAGAGGTAATTTAAAAAATAATACAGAACTACACTGCTCTGATATGTCTAATGTTTATCCCCCAAAATGTGACAGTGTCCATATTAAGCTAAATAAAATTTAGTCCAAATTAAGCAC